TTTTACCATGACCAAATCTTGGCGACCATTGCGAGTTCGTTCCCTCAGCTTGCACCGCGTGCTCTGCCTGGAACTTAGCCTCTCGAAGTCTCGTGCATTTTGCCGAATGAAGCTGTTGAAGGCATTGATCCGTGGTGATGGTCGAGTGCATTGAGCGCACGTCGTTCACTCCTGTGGCTCTTGGTTCGGCCGTCGACGCGTGTCAACACTGCGAGTGGCTGTTGCGACTGACGTGGTAAGGCTTATCTGTCGAGTGCGAACGAGACCAGCGTACAAAAGTCAAGCGACCTAACATACTATGGAAGGAACGACAACGTCGTAAGTAGTCTTCGGTTACGGCTTTGAGGGTTGTATGATTACACCATCCTTAGACCAAAGATGGCAACGGCAGCTTCTTAAGCCGCGAACTCGACTTTGCTGACAACTGCTCGGACACTGACACCCTCCAACTGACGGACGGGACGGGGTACTCGACCCTGTTTTTTGGCAACCACCTCATCGCCTACACGGCCCGTGCTCACTTGCCGATAGGTTGCTCCAGTTGTTAACCGAGTTGCTAGATTTGCTAATCGAGTCGCTATATTTTTCCTTGGTTTTAAAATGTACAGGTCGTATTTTCCATTGGGCAAGGTGCGACTTGCGATCTTTTTATTTGGGATTTGAAAGTTTGAAAAATGGAACCGCGCGGGGATTGGCTATAAAGGTCAGAATTATACGCCATGGGATTGGCTAAAATCGTGCGACGTATGGCACGCGATTGGTGGAATAGACGTCCCGGTCTCAATTTTGCCCAGACCGAGATCGCCGATGGCAGACGCAACGACGACCGTGGTTGAGCGCTACGTGGACGCGCATGGCGCCGACGCGACGCGGACGTACACGCGCGGCCGCTTCCTCGGCAAGGTACATGGCTCATGCGCAGGCCACGGCGGCTCAAAGACGTATGCGCTAGGGCGGCTTTGCGCGCTGCTACGAGATGACCGCGCCGGACGGGGCAACGTACGCGGCCAAGGTCGTCGCCAAAGAGACGCTGCTCAAGCCCAAGGCCAAGATCAAGTTTGCGAGCGAGATCAAGATCCACAAGGCGCTGCACCACCCGCGCGTCGTGCAGATGCACCATTTCTTTGAAGACGACGCCAACTGCTACCTCCTCCTCGAGCTGTGCCCCAACCACGTGCGCCGACCTCGCTTGCTCTGCGCGAACCTCATGGTATGTCGTAGAGCCTCTCGGACTTGATCAAGCGGCGAAAGCGTCTCGCCGAGCACGAAGTCCGCTTCTACATCAAGCAGCTCCTCGAGGGTATACAGTACCTCCACTCGCAATGTGTCATCCATCGGGACCTAAAGCTCGGCAACCTCTTCTTGACGAGCGACATGCAGATCAAGATTGGCGACTTTGGCCTTGCGTCGCACCTCGACTCGAAGGCCGAGAAGCGCAAGACGATGTGCGGCACGCCCAACTACATTGCGCCCGAGATCCTCAACGGCGCCCGCAACGACGGCCATAGCTTTGAAGTTGACGTCTGGTCCACGGGCGTCATCATGTACACACTCCTAGTCGGGAAGCCGCCGTTCGAGACGGCCGACGTCAAGAACACGTACCGGCTCATTCGCGCCAACACGTACACCTTCCCCGACACGGTCGCGCTCTCGTCGGCCGCGCGCGGGCTCATCATCGACATCCTCCGCCACGACCCGACGCAGCGCCCGTCGATCACCAGCATCCTCAAGCACCCCTTCTTACGCGATGACAACGTCCCTCGGCACCTCCCCGAGTCGTCGCTCTTTATGACGCCGCCCCGTCCGCTCGGCGCCAAGCCGGACGCGCCCAAGACGCCGGTGCCGACACCGTCGCCCCACCATGGTACGCCACGTCAGCGTGTCTGTACTGTCGTTGACAGAGTGTAGACAAGCCGCCGCTGCGGACGCCCCTGCGCACGCTGCACCAGGCCAACCAAGCAGCGCCGGCCGCCCCCGACGTCCTCGAAGCGACGTGCGAGACGCTGGCGTATCTCATTGCGCTCGACGAAGAGCGAAGGGGCAAGCACAACGCAGAGAACGCGATTTTGAGCACTACCAAGCAGCAGATCCTCCAGGCCCGCCTCGCAGTGCTGCCGCCACCGCGCGCAGCCCCCCTCTGGGTCCTCCAGTACGTCGACTACACGGCCAAGTACGGTCTCGGCTACGTCCTCTCGAACGGGTCGGCCGGTGTCTACTTCAACGACTCGACCAAGATCATCGCAAGCCCGGACGGCAGCACGTTCGACTACGTCGACCGCCTGTACCGACACTTCTCTCACGGATCCTCCCGTCGCTCAACGATTGACATAGCGACGCGCCGGCCGTCGACTCGCCGCGCACGACGTTTAGCGCAAAGCAATTTGACGCGGCGCTCGCCAAGAAGGTGACCCTCATGGGGCACTTTCAAGAGTACATGGTACTACTGGCTCTAAGATCTGCGTGGTTCGAAATGCTTATATATTTTTGCAGAAGGAAGAAGAGCCGACGTGTTCGTCCCGCACGCTCCTGCTCTCGCACCTCGAGAAGCTGCCGCCGCAATTCTGCACGGCGTCGCCCGTGTACATTCGCAAGTGGGTCAAGACGCGCCATGCGATCCTCTTCCGCCTCACCAACGACACGATCCAAGTCGACTTCTACGATTCGACGCGGCTCGTTTTGGCGCAGGACGGTCTCGCCATCACGTACACTCTAAGTATATAGCCGTAAAGTCCTCAAAGGGTCTGTAGGTATGTCGACAAGGACGGCACGATGCACGTGCTCTCGACCTACGACGCTGTGCAGCATCCGGCCAAGACGCCGGACCTCGTCAAGCGCCTCAAGTACACTCCTTCTCGTGGTATGCTCCAAGTTGTCATGCTTGGGTGTAGGTATGTCAAGGATATGCTGGCGCAAATGGTGAAAGCCAAGGCGTAAGTATAAGTTCTGTAGTCACCCCGCTATAATATATACAGTGCTATTTTGCTACTCTAGTCTAGCAATGGAAGTAAATACGAATAATCGTAGTTTGGACAAGAACCGACGCTGTTGGACGGGCTGTCGACAGGAAAAGGGCGCATTTGATTCGGTTATCTCAGTAGTAGGAAAATTCAGCTAGTGGCTCCACGGAAATCACCCCGATCTGCCTTACAGAGAAGTATAACTCAGTGGTATCATACTCTGTGTTTGCATCACGTCTATTTTGTGAAATATAAATTTCACAGGTAAGACTTTACCTACTAATGAGTTAATCTCACTATTGCAGCTGGCCGCGTATAGCTACAAATCAACGGAATCTAGATGCGCTGTGATCTCCACGCTGCCAAAGTGTCCAAATTTGGCAGTAGCAAATCACCGGTCTGCAACGTCGCATGTCTCATGCAGACCTGCGAAAAATGATATTCCCTTCCACACTGGATTCGACGACCAGAGACTCGACAACCTCGGTCCTGGATTTACGACCACTTCTCTTCGGCGCTGGGTGCCGTCTGGTTGGATGGGCAGTGGATAACCATGCCATTACGAGTTTGTATCCAGGCACTTGGATATATCCAAAACAGCTATCCAAAGCTGCTTTACCAGTGGCTCGACCGCACGCTCTTAGGACAAGCCCACAGAGTCATCGCGTGGAGGATTTTTCGTTCTCGACGATAGAAGCAAGAGCAAATTTACGTCTCTGAATCAGTGAAGTTTTTGTGAATTAATGAAATTGGCAGCATCGATTTTTATGGATTTTCGTTGCACACGTGGATGATTCAACAAGAAATCCCACTCTCTGCAACGTCCACCGCAGTGACCATCACCGACGACCGTGTCCTGTCCAGCGTCTCCAACGTCTCAGAGAATGAACCTCACTTTTCAATCTTCAAACTCAAACGCAACACCAAGTATGCTCCACCTCTTCTCAACGATGAAGACGCAGTCCTCCACGACCGCGTGGTCTAAGGCCCGCAAGTCCATCGTGCGCGCCAACGCCGGCGTCAAGCGCAGTATCACTCTGCCACCTCTCCCGCACCCACCGACGCTCGTGGGCGGCCGCCTCGTGCCCTTCCAACGCGCCGCGCAGAGTCCTCGGACGCTCGGCCCGATCCTCGAAGAAGACAGTTTCGTGAAGGTCTAGACGGCAGCCAAGACAATTCGTAGCTAGTACTATTTATTTGCGAAAAGCAACAACGATCGCAGTTGAGCTTACGTCCCAACGGTGGAAGCCGAACGATGGCGAGCTTATGGCGATTAGGCGTGCGCATGCTGCGGTCTTGCCGAGAGACCTTCTTCTTGGCCATGTTCCTGCAGCCCACTCGCTCCAGTATAAGCACGGAAGGAGATTGTTTATTGACTCTAGAAGCAGACCCTTCTTGGTCCAACCTTCGTCCAACCTGGCTACGCACCTTGAGGCAACTTTACCGACCTCGCCTGTGCCGACCCGTCGCTTCCCCGCATTCTGAAGCGCCTGACCAAGTCAACGGCAGTTCCCCAACCAGTTCGAGTTCGCGCTCAACTATAGAGGCTGGCGCCACTCCCAACAATCGCCTCGCATCCAGGAACTCCATCGGCGGGAAGATTTGGCCGGTCACTTGTGGCAAGCCAATCTATATCCGGATCCGGATCGGTGCTGGCCCAGAGGCTGCTGAAATGACTCTGACAACATCGCTCAACCGAGTGTAGACCGTGAAGAATGTTCGTCAATATGACCTCGTTTTTCTTTTCAAAGGGGCCTTCGTAGGTCATATTATTTGTATTCGCGGGAGGCTTTTCAGCAATTATTGCAATCAGAAAAGGAGGAATCGGAAAGGCATAGCTGAGAATTGAAGAGTGGTGGTAAATCAAGCTGCAGATTCAAAAGCCAAAGGAAATCGGTTTAGCGCCCAGACTTCTTGACCGTTGATGGGCAACTGAACCAGATTGTTGGGCGCTACTGGCCACTGTGGTGGTGATCGTCCATCAGTGATTGGTCCGAGCAGTGAGAATAATAGCGGACGCTCCACTGACCCAGCTCCGACGCAGATTTCAGACTGCAGTGGAATGCGGTTTGTTGAGCATTGTGAGCTTCCTGGGGTTGAAAAGAAGTAGCCAGAAAAACTGATACGCGCCACCTCAACCGACGATTCGAGAGCAAAAACAAATCCTGAGCTCCGCCTGGCTCTCGCAAGGGACCGCGTGGGTGGACCAGCACGTGCAACGAAGACTGCTGACAGGAAACAGAACGGTGCTCAACCGGACCCTGGCGGCCTTGGCCTTCGCGTGGAGTGGGTCGAGGAGCCACTCGTGTGCTTGGTGTGGAACACTTGAAACTCGGTTGTGGCATCGTCACGGAGTCGCCTGAGATCCCAGACGACGGGTTCGTGGCTTCTGTTGTGTCTGGTTTGGTCAAGCCATGCCAGGCCGATGCAAGCGTGTATCGCTGGAGAGTTGTGACTCCAGGAAGCGAGAAGCCCAGAGTCTGGGTAGCTTGCGTGCGTGGTGTAGATCAGTTCACAATCTGATTCGTGGCGTAACGCAATACAACTGCCTGCTTCTTGGGAGATGGCTCTCCCCTCGCTGCGTTGTTTGCGTTGCACTGCGGGAGCCACCACACTTCGCACTCGGGACTCTGGTCGACGACAACCACCTGGATGCCCATGCCGGTGAGCTCCTTCTCCATGATCGACCGCCGATAACGCTGCAACGTGACGTACGCGAGGCGACCGCTCATGGACATTTACCAGAAGCGACAGATCGGCTTGCAGAGCGACACCTTGTTGTCTCGGTGCCCAAGAAAAGCAGCGTTGACGATGAACACTTGGACGAAGATATATTGATAAATGTGCTCTCCATTTACTGTCATGAGTAGCCGCAGGATGAACGAACGAATGACACTGCGAGAGGCTACGGACGCCATGGTAGCGCACTTGGCGTCAGCTGGGGGATCGAACTCGCAATGGTCGCCAAGATTTGGTCGCAGAAAAACTGATTGCCAGCCTTATTGAGGTGCAAGCCGTCGCGAAGCATGGTCTTTTGCTGTCCTTGGAGCAGCGTCGAGAAGTCGATGACAGGGATGCCCAAGCGACGGCCCACTTCGGAACAGTATATGCCACGAGATCTTCACATTAAAATCTAGAACTCGGAAGACCTACCTCCACTATTCAATAACGTTCTGAACCTGCGCTCCAGTTGGAATTCTGCTTGCGTTTGATCGGACACAAGATCAAGCTTCTGCTTGGGCGTTCTCATACAGTGCGCCGAATGCGGCTATTCTCACACCGCAAAACGGCCTTCGCGCGTAAGGTTACCCGTCACGTACGGTAGCCTCAGTCGTGAGCCAGACAAAGAACCAAGTGGCGAACCAGCGCGCGGATCAGCTCGAGGCTTGTTGATTGGCTGATTTCACGCCGACCACAGCTGCGATTGGTGGCCTTTGCAACGCCACCGGCAGTTGAGTCGCGAATTCATGCGCCTCAATCAAGGAAACACGACTTGACCTTAATGCATTAATGCACTCTGCGAGATCCATACTATGTGGGGTGCCGACGATGGCAAGTGGTTGTATTCACTAGCTCCAGAATAATCCTAAACGGCCACGGAACTCGCTCACGAAATGCGTTCGTTGCGCTTGTCAATCAGCGTGAAACCGAAACCCAAAAATCAATGTTGCGGCGTATTGGCATCGCCCTGCGCGTCGTGCTGGTCTTGGTGCTCCTGAGCTGCGTTGCGTAGGCAGCTATTTCGCATCGACGGAGGTCGATCACGTGCTGGCGGCGTAGGCAGCCCGTCTTCTTCTCGACCGCGAGCGCCATCGAGCCCGTCTTCGTGTTCCCGCTTCTCCTCGTGACACTCGTCTTTAGCTGCCGCGAATGTGTTCCTGTCGCGTGCCAAGCCGTCCAAGACGCGTACAAACCTCCTTCGCACCCGCCCTTCCGCGATCGGCCCGAACTCTACTACGTGTGATTTTTCTCGGTTAAAATACTCCTTGGTTATGGGTTTGCCCTGCACCATCACGCGTCCCTTGGCCCTTTGCGACTCGCTCGGAAACAGAACGTACACGTCGAGGGCGTGGGGTCGGCCCATGAGGTCGTCACGATTTTCTTTTTTGCTCAAAACACTGAGAGGAAACTAATTCTCTCCTCGCCCACTTTGCTCCGACTTGCCAG